GAATCTTTATTTGCTTAACAAGTGTCTCAAGAGAGTGGATTAAAAGTTTAACTCAATCTTACAAAATCAACTTTTATGATAAAGAATGTTCTCCACTTATATACATTAGTATAACCTTATTCATAGTCGATACGAGATCTCTAACACACACTTCATGTTAAGGACTGAAATCTTGTGCATGAAGTTTGTTTGACTTTATTCCTAGATAATGTGATATCTCTAAAATATCTCTCACATCAAGAACTAAACATTTTGAGCGTGAAATTTGCAGGATTCAATAACAGTCTCATAGTAATTGGCCTAATTGATAAGCTCACGAACAATCAATAATCGTAAAGATATGGACATTTGTAGATAATTCGATAACAACCCAATAACAAATAACTTAATAAACTCAACAACAAAAATTCTTAAGATAAAATTTGATATTATTTTAGAGAAAGTTAAAAATCTAACTCAATCTTATAAAATTAATTTATAAGATGGAAATTATTTATTACTTATAAATAATATTAAAATGATAGTTCTCAAATAGATTTTTCGTTTGCTCTATCCGCTTTCAAACCTCAACCGTTTCGGTAAAGTCATCAAGCTTCGGTCGTTGAATGCATTTAGTTCTGCTCTAGATGCGCGCCCTCAAGCAGTGCAATACATTCTCCAAAGGTAACCAACAACCGTTCACCTTCACATTGTTAATTTGTTATTCTCTATTTTCCTTTCCATTTTACTTCAATAAACTTTCATGTTTTAGATTATATACCGCACTAATCCTCTAATAATAATATAATTCTTCTGTAATATTAACATTTTATAATATTAATTATTTTAAATATTGAACTATGTTTCACTATTTTAATTTCATATTTATTATTTTACTTTCTTATTTTTATTTAAATTTTATTTACACTCTTTTAATAATAAATTTTTATATAAATTTTGAGATAAAATCACTTACCTTTTATGTTTTATAAAAAAGATATCCAACTGTTTTCTTCTTCAAAATAATTGGCTAAATCAAATCAAATTAATTTAGTTTAATTTATAATTCTTTTTAATAAATTTTATCCAAAACTAAACCAATTAAGATCGATTGGTTATAATTGTAACTCAAATTTAAACTTTGATCATAATTAAACATCACTTGTGATACAAACTTTTCTTACATAAATACTATATATAACAAAAATTGAAATAGAAAACTATTTGAAAAATCCTAGGCTGAAAGTTGTCACACTTTCTAATTAAAGTCATCATTATATTTTAAAAGTAAGATACATACAAGTGCCAATTCAATACATATTTAAATCTTTTGTTACCTTATCATATGTATTTGCATATTTAAAACATCATTTTTGTTTTAACGATCAATATATTGACATGGACTAGAACATTGTAGAATATTGGTCTTTGCCAAGGTCCACACTGCAATATTTAAATTATGAAAAGGATTATTAAAATTCATATTTATATGAGAGCATTATTTCTCAATCTAATTAATTCTTCACCTAGTACATTTATGTGTGCATCAATTGTTTCTGGACACTCTTTTTTCTGATTCAGCATATACCAGAGATTTGCAATCACTTTGTAGAAGCTCCTACAAAGCTCAACTCCTATAAAAGTTGAGTCTACAGAATGTCAATGTTATTCTTATTGCAGAAGTAGCAAAGTATCCTGACCAAACTAGCTAGTTCTGGTCAATTACAATTTTTTTATTTTATTATTATCAACCAAAAGAATATAGCAAATGGAGTATGCCTCCTTGAATAGCAAATTTCACATTTTTCTTTCTCCCACATTCCATAATATTTTTGCTTTAACAAAAGCAGGACCTAACTCCATTGCATGTCCTAAATCAACTTAAGCCATATTTCTACAAGGTACACCGAAGCGTGAAACTATATAACAAATTAAATAGTATGAAATATCTTTTAGGATCCCAAATTGAATGTGATGTGAGACATGTTTGCAAAAGGAAAACGAGATCAATATGTAATTGCACGTGCATTTGCTAGTATTATTTATTTTCCTGACTAGCTGATTTGATGTATTGAACCAAATCGTGGAGACTGGAGTACGAGGAACCACCTGGGCTGACACTGTGAGCCAACATACCCATTTCTTGAGTTGATCTGAGAAACTCCTCCTTCCTATGATCCGTAAGATCATTAACCATGTTCTCCACAACGTGTCTATCACACACATCTTTCATGTCCAATCCAAGTTTCCAAACCTCACTCACAAACCTGTTGTTAACCTGCTGATCCGCAAAGTATGGCCAACAAATCATGGGCACACCAGCCACCAAACTTTCCAAGGTTGAGTTCCACCCACTGTGAGTCAAAAACCCACCAGTGGCCTTATGAGCCAGCACCTCCTCTTGTGGGGCCCACTCCACAATGAAGCCCTTCTCCTTAGTCCCTTCCTCCACCTCAGCCGGTATTCGGTCATCATTGCCTTTTCCTGCCACCAAGTCATGCCGCATCACCCACAAGAACCGCTTCTTGCTGCTCACCAAACCGTGCCAAAACTCCATTAACTCCTCCCTTTTCACAATTGTGGAACTGCCAAAGCTGACATATATGACCGACCCTTGAGGCTGAGCGTCGAGCCATGCCATGCAGCTCCTATCCACTTGGAAAAAAACTGTTCTTAAACTTAGGAACATCGTTTGCTATGCCTGTTGCTTTTGTCACGTTCAAATGGTGGTGGAGAGGACCGATGGTGTAGAGTTTGGGGAAGTGAAGACGTATCTGGGAGAGGATAGGGCCATCTAGCTCCTCAAATGTGTTGAGTATGAGTGCGTCAGCTTCGAGTGATTGCTTGGTCTGCAACGCAACCCAATCCATAGACATGTTCCCCTGTGAGCTTGGTCTGCAGAAACTTGGGAGATCTCTACACCGAAGCAAGTTTTCCATGCCTGGCATATTTCTTATCATGCGGTCCATGTCCTCATCTCTTTCAACCAGATATATTCACATTATTCTTATCAGCAACAGAAGTGGATATATGTTAACTAAATTGAATGCACGCATTTAAAGATATATAGAAATGAAAGAATGTGATGTGAGTCTATTATACCTCTAATGGGAAGTTCTTTGCACTCAAAGAGCTTTGGGATCCAGAAATAAGGCCAGAAGCAACACGCACTGCTGGCTCGAAAATGAATGATTGGTATCCGTATCCCTAACTCAGAAGCCAAATCAATGGCGAGGCTTCCGAAGATTCCATCCTGTATAATGCAACTTACTTTAGGTGTTCCAGGATTCTCGGACACCAGAATCTGTCTCAAGAGTGGCTTAGCGTGAAGAGTCGTGGAAAGCGTGATGTCCCCCATACTATTGTCTCTGGATCCAGGGTGCTGGCCCTCGTTATAACAATCAGAAATGGTCTTGAAGTGGAGTGTAGGGTAGCATTCTAAGAGAGCTTCAATGGCACCGAAGCGAGTGAGACGGTTGTGGATGCACTCGGTGTTGAGGAAGGTGACGTGGAGATGGTGAAGGGCAAGAAGCTCAGCGAGCTTCAGCATGGACCCTACATGGCCCTGTAGTGGACAAGGGAAGACCAGAACATGTGCTACTGTGGCTTCTTCCATGGATCTTTCCATTCTCGACAATGTCATTGTGTAGTACCTCTTATTAATATTGCCTTTGATGAGATGCATGACACCGAATGCCAGACAAAAATACACAGTACACAGGATGACTCATGCCAGCCACATGATTCAAATTTTAATAAACAACACTAGATTATCAAGCCATCTTTTTTTAAATGAAAAAGATTTGCTAATCTGTAAAAAAAAAAAAATAAACAAATTAAAAGTCAGAAGTGATAAATATATAAGAATATAACGCCATAAATTTTTTTATTTATTTCAAGTGCTTTAATATTTAATTTTTTAATTAAATATTAGAGATTTAATTATTGTCTTAATCATGACTTCACAGCTGAAAGTATTACTTTATAAAAAAAAATTAGATGAGAAAAAAAATTAGGTGATAAGAAACGTGTACGATCCACCAAATTTTATATCTTTTTTTAATAAATTTTGACTAATAACCGGAAACATGTTAAAAGAGCGTCTTATTTTATTTATTTATTTATTTTTACATTTCTGAAGTACGTAAATATTAGTAGGCTTTTTAAATAAAGTTGGGAACTTGGGGTTCCTGATTCCTGGGACATGTCTCCATTTTCATCCTGCAGTCCCATTGAAGTTCTCGTGCACTAGCGTGTTGTATCGTGTAACTCACAGTTAGGGTGAAATAAGTTTGACTGAAATTAGGTTTTTAACACCTTGGTACCCTTATATGTTTAAAAACAAAAGTGAGACTTAAAAAAGAAGAAAAATGAGTATAACTTATTTTTCTTATGCTACTTAATGAGATATTAGAGTAGAATTTTAAAAGACTTTTTTAGTTAAAAAATGTCGTGTAAATTTTAAAAGATTTTATAAAATTTTCATAATTTTTAAAATTTTGTAAAATTTTCCAAGACTTTCAATCAACATTTAAATGAAATTTGCAAGACTTTTAAGTTAGAATTTTTATAAACTTTACAAAATTTCATAGATTTTTTAGTTTTAAATTTATACTTTCTCTCATTTTCCTGTTGTCATATAATTATTCATTGTATTATTCATGAGTTCCTATTTTTTTAATTATTATATTATTTTAATGTTTTTAATTTTTATATAAATTAATTGGAAGTACGTAATCTAACTCTTTTAATTAACAGAAAAGACAGGTTTCACCGGTTCATTAATCATCAAGACCCTTTGAATGTTAAAAAGTCTTGACTTGCAAGACTTGTTGCCCACGAAATAAAGAAAATTACCATCCTTCCCTTTTTGGTTACATCACTGCGTGCGTTGCATGTTTTGCTTAATATAGGAATCTTGTATACACATATATTATATATTAAAATATATTAAAAAAATACTATATATATACTAAACTCCTCAATTCATTTTTCATCATCACAACATTCTTTTCATTCTTAAGAGCCCTTCATTTCATTTATCGTTTTCCTTACCAAACTACAAAATTAATGTCGAACGTGTTAGCAAGAGAAGAAAACGAAAAAGTTGCTACCTTTGGCTGGGCAGCTAGAGGTGCTTCGGGAATTCTCTCCCCCTTTCACTTTACCAGAAGGTATATATATATCTTAATCTTCAAATTGCATGAACTTCAAAATAAAACCATCTCACGAGCATGCACTGAATGCTTATACTCTTGAACATAATGTTAGGTCCAGAGTAGGCTTAATAGTTACTCACAGTCTATTTGTTATAGGACACTTAGAGATATAATTAGCTCAATGAAGCAAATCTTATTAACGTTTGCTTGTCATTAAAACTTAAGGTCGGATCTCTTAGACTTAACAATAAGCATCATGTTTGTCCTACTAAGGAATATTTTCTAAATTTGGTTTGAAGGCTTTCAAATGCAGGACATAATTGTGGCAGTGGTGCAAGTTGTAGTTCATGCAGTCCTTTTGTGCATTTTTTTCTATTACTATGTTATTGGTACGAAATATATACTGATTATGTAGATGACTATTCTCCATTAGAGAATTTGGCTTGACACTTTTAGTGGGGCCTCTCTCCTAACCACCTTTAGTATGCATTTTTTTTACCCATAAGATGGTAGATAGGAGATGTTGGGGATCCTCAAACCAAGCACCACCTTTAGTATGCATTTGATTGAAGTAGAGTGCTCTCATGTTTAATGTTACTTATTTGTCTCTGACCTTGCAATGGGATTCATAAGATTGTGCAATGGTCTCCCTTTGACATTCCACTAATGGTTGAGTCATGGGTGTTGCCATTTTAAACATGCTTAGAGATTCAACAGCTTTGCTGCATTGTAATTTTTCTTTGCTTTTTGTTTGATTTTTAATTCTTCTTTTGGCCTAAGCTTTCATCATCTGTTTTAAAATCATTTTTTACTACAAAAAAGAAAAGGAAAACAACTTAGTATTTCTTAGACATCAATGAGTCGGTGATGATTATCTATGAGAATTTGGAATTGCATTATGTATTTGCCCTTCTGCAAAATCAGTATCTTCATTTTGAAAGAAAGAACCTTTCTTGAAATATAAACCTTGTTGCTTTAAATGTTCCCAATGATGTACTCCATATATTATTCCATGATTTATTTTTATCAATCCTGTGCTTGCATGTTTTTAATATTCTCAATTTGGTCCTGTAAAGCTTTGATGTATATGACTGAACTAACTAAGATAAAATAAAAAATTATGAAAACTGTTGGAAATAGGAATATTTTAGGAGATTGGAACTCCTTTAATGTTTATTTTTCTAGGTTGCCTGGATACTTGGTATAGCTAAGTTCAATGCATCATAGGAAGTAATGGTATCTTAGTTGTTCTCTTGTAAATTGTTTTGGCATTAATTATCTTTGTAATTCTCTTGTATATAAATAAACCCATTCTGCTGGGTGGAATTATCACTCAAGCATATTCAGAAAATGAGATCTTCCTCTCTCTCTCTTTCTCTCTCTCTCTGTCTCTCTTTTTAAATTTTTTTATTATCAAAAACTATTGATAAAATTAGACTAAATGGCTAAACTGATAAAATACATATATTCTGAGGACTAAAATGGTAATTTTCTGTAAACTTGTGAAGCATTTATTCCCTTGGCTATGCTGTCCTAGTTGTTTACTTTTATGCCTTTTACTTTCTCTAAAAAAAATTTATGATGGTGATGCAGGGTTTGTAATTCTGGGTAGAAAGATTCTTACAAATGCTCATGTGGTAGCTGATCATTCTTTTGTACTTGTAAGGAAGCATGGCTGTCCCACCAAATATAGAGCAGAAGTCAAAGCTGTTGGTCATGAATGTGACTTAGCTATATTGGTTATTGAGAATGAAGAGTTTTGGGATGGTATGATTCCCTTGGAGCTTGGAGATGTCCCATTTCTACAAGAAGCTGTTGCTGTTGTGGGATATCCTCAAGGTAGTAATAGAGTATGGATTAATTTGTGTTGCGTAAACAATTATATATTACTGGGCATGAAATAAAAGAATCTACCACAAAAGAAAGATAATACATCTTCATGAATGAATATTAACAAGTAAAATTATAATAATTGTTGGAAAGCCGCCTTAATTGCAATCACCCCTAGCCCACTTAGCTGTGGTCTCTTTGGGGGCTGCCTTAGTTGCAGCCTCAAGGGTGGTGATTTAGTCCCACATCAATTAAAGATATGGCTAAAACAGAGCGTATAAAACTTAGATCATCTTTACAAGTTAGTTTTGTGGGATTGAATTAGGTTACTTAAGATTTGAATATGGTCGTAAAATCAATGAGAAATCTCAGCTGATGCACTTTATATATATGTATATGTATGAGAGAGACAAAAAGTACAATCAAAGGGGCATAATCAAAAAAAGGCTCCTGCCTATGACTTCTGACCAAAAGTAAAAAAATACAACTAAAACAACTTTATATAGTTGTACTACATAACAAATAACAAAATATTATTTTAACACTCCTCCTCTAGTTGGAGCATATAAATTGTATGCACCAAACTTGGAACATATAAACTAAATTCTAGGTCCTCTTAAGGACTTAGTTAGAATGTATGTAATGTAAGCTGGTCATTAGTGTTGACAAACTCGGTACTAAGGTCCTTGGATAGTAGCTTCTCCCTAACAAAATGACAATCAATTTCTATGTGTTTAGTTATCCCATGAAACACTAGATTGGAGGCAATATGAAGGGTTTCCTGGTTGTCACAGTATAACATCATCTGCTCAACTTCACAAATTCTCAATTCTTGAAGGAGCTATTTAATCCACACAAGTTCCCAAGTATCCAAAGCCATGGATTTATAATCAGCCTTTGCATTGGACTGGACAACAACACTTTGTTTCTTGCTCTTCTAAGTAGGGATGGCAAATATACCCGTACCCGCGGGTAATACTCGAAGTAATGGTATCTTAGTTGTTCTCTTGTAAATTGTTTTGGCATTAATTATCTTTGTAATTCTCTTGTATATAAATAACAGGGAAAATGGTGACAATGATATCACCCTTCATATACTCTATTCTGGGATTTGCCACTCGGATCTCCACATGGTGAAGAACGACTTTGGATTGTCCATCTATCCAATGGTTCCTGGGTATTATTTTATTTTGTCGTCTTTCGACCCAAATGTCTTTTAGCATCTGAATATGTTTTCCTGAGCAACTTAATTATTTTTAAAGATAAAATAATTAAATAAGTAATTCTAATATAATATATGTACAATAAATTATGAAACTCATAAAAGTTCTATACTACTTATTATAAAATTATTATAAACTGATCATGCCTAACAGATTTTCATTTTAAATTTTAAGTTTAAACCAGGCCTAATAGATTTTCCTTCCTATATTAGGCATGAGATTGTGGGTAAAGTGACAAAGGTGGGTAGCAGAGTCACAAAATTCAGTGTTGGTGACATAGCGGGTGTGAGTGGCATTGTAGGTTCGTGTGGTTCATGTTCCGATTGCAGCAAGGGCTTCTATGTTTATTGTCCAAAAATGATATTAACCTACAGTGCACACTACCATGATGGAACAATAACCCAAGGTGGGTACTCGGATAAGATAGTAGTTGACCAGAACTTTGCGGTGCAAATCCCAAAATCTCTGCCACTTGATGGCGCAGCGCCGTTGCTATGTGCAGGAATTACAGTATACAGCTCAATGAAGTATTTTGGGCTTGCTAAGCCTGGACTGCACTTGGGTGTGGTAGGCCTGGGAGGCCTTGGTCATGTGGCTGTCAAATTTGCTAAAGCTTTTGGTATGCATGTCACTGTGATAAGTACATCTCCCAGCAAGAAGGTAGAGGCATTGGGAAGTCTTGGTGCTGATGCTTTCTTGGTTAGTCAAGACTCACAACAGTTGCAGGTAATTAATTGACCAATCACTTCAATCTATTTTATCAAATAATGATGAAACAAAATAATGCATGAGATGGACAACTGTTGACTAGTGAATTTCTCTGCTTGGTTATTAGGATGCCATGAGCACAATGGATGGTATTATTGACACAGTTTCAGCTAATCACTCAATCCAATCACTTATTGGTTTATTGAAAACACATGGAAAATTGATTTTGGTGGGTGCATCAACCTTGCCTCTTGAGGTGTTAGCTATGCCTTTACTTTTGGGTGAGTCTCCACTATTGATATATATAGTTATGACATACAATTGGTATGGTTTTTATAAAGGGATAATGCAAATGAGTAACATTGAAAATGTGATTTTTGACACAGGGAGAAAGACGATTGCTGGCAGTATAGGAGGTGGGAGTGAAGAGATGCAAGAGATGATGGATTTTGCAGCAAAGCATAATATTACGGCAGATGTGGAAGTCATTCCGATGGATTACGTCAACACTGCCTTTGAGAGGCTGAAAAACAATGATATTAAGTATCGCTTTGTCATTGATGTGGCAAACACGATAAACTGCAACTTCAATTAGAGAATCAAATTAGTAGCTACGTATTTCTTGATGTTGTAATTTAAATTTGTGTTTGTTTGTTTTAATTATACATATCATAGTTAATATATTGTTGAATAATATACGGATATATGTATAAAATATTGTTCAATAATTTAAATTTGAATAACATATTATTTAAATATGGATATATGTACTTACTTATTACGTTATTTAATAACACATTTATTTATTAATATTACATATGTACATATAGTTGAGGAATTTATGAGCAAAATTAATTTATTAACCTTTGTTTTTTTATTTATTTATTAAGATGTTGTGTCCCTTCTTCTAAATTATATAATAATATATTATTCATATGTGTGCAGTAAATAAATTCAAAAAAAATTAAAATAAAATGAAACAAATATAAACTTTGAAGTTTCCTATGGTCATCCTTTAATTAAAGCATAATTGTAATTTTAGAGAAAACGTGTATTTGTTGAATGAAGCAAACCTATGCTATGAAACACAGTTGGTATTTGCTATTTTGCATGATCATGCTCAAGTTTCATGTATTAAATTATGAAGGTAGTTGTTCTCACTAAATTTTTTATTTTTTACTTAAATATATTTAATAATAAAATCTTCCCCCACAAAAGAATATTATCCTTATAAAATAATTTTTAAAAAATAAGTGCTGAAAATTATAAGAGATAAAAATAAAAATAAATCAGTACTGATTTTATTATTTTTCTATATCCAAATTTTTACCATTTCATTTTTAATTCAATACTAAACAAATCACACAGAATTATAAATACATATCTTAATACAATATATCTAATAAGAATAAAATAAATAAATAAATAAATAAAATAAAGAGAAATTATCAATCAATTTATTAAACAATTTTAATTTATAAAAAATAAGGAATTTAATTCTTTTCATGAATATATATTTTATAAAAATTTATAAATTATTTATTATTTGTCTCCACTAATTTTTTTTTCTAGATTTGTCCCTAGTCATGCTTCTCTTTTAGAGCATCTCTTGTTGGGAAAACATGTCATTACTACTCATGAAGTATGCCCTTAGTTATTAAACAAGAATATGTGCATATTAATTTGTCCTAATATTTTTTACTATTTTTAGAGATGTTCATATCAAATTTTATTATCCAATTTTTAGTTTTAAATTTATACTTTCTCTTATTTTCCTGTTGTCATATAATTATTCCTTGTATTATTCATGAGTTCTTTTTTTTTTAATTGTTGTATTATTTTAGTGTTTTCAGTTCTTATATAAATTAATTGAAAATACATAATCTAACTCTTTTAATTGACAGATCTCTAAAGTAATTGAATTTTGAAAATTTGCATGATCAAACTGATTTTCTTATTTCTCAATTGAATTGATTTATTTATTCGCTTATGTGTTTTTATTATATTTTACAAGTAAACTTCTTACGATCAATTTGAGATTTTCTAAAATAAACACCGTTGCCTTCCTAAATCAAAAGTTGTCAACAATTTCATAAATAAATTGATGACAATGTTTTATAGCTCCTAGAATTCATCTTAGAGGGGTCGGGGATAATAAGTTACAACCTTAAGATTTTTAATATTTGAATCTCAATCCATCTATTTTTTGTTCTAATTATTATTTTTTATTTTCTCTTAGATCAAATTTTTATCTCCTCAAATTGTTAAAAAACCACGATTAAACTTGAACTTAATCCTTTGAATTTGATATTTAGACTATACCCATTATTACTATTGTAGTAAAGTAGTTTGTCTTTAAGCATATCTTATACACAACATCACGCTTAAAGGTTGTCTTTCCTTCTAAGAGTTTTTTATACATGAATAAAACTCTAATACCTTGTGTTATCAACTATGTGATACTCATTAGGTAAATCCTAAACCGTGGTATGATCACTTTAAACCTTAGTCGCCCAAAATTTGAATTTGAAATTCAAATTTTAGGTGCCTTGGCTGGTCACCACAAACCGCATACACGGATTACATGTCCCATTTGAATGTAATTTATGGTGTGTTTCATTTGGATTTGAAGCATGTGGACGACACCTAGGTGTGACCTTCCATGCATGCTTCAAATTCTAATGAAATGCATCCGATTAATTTAACTTAAATACATGTGATAATTTTGAATCAAAATATATATTCATGTATTACCATATCAAATATAATAATAACCCTAGGTTGGGTGGGGAGGGGTTGGAGTAGTTAGAAGCATGAGGACCTAGGTTCAATCCTCATTGCGACCATCTGTGTAATTTTTCCTATCTTTACAAAAAAAAATATGAAATATAATAAATATTAATCATAATTACCATAAATTAAATTTTGAAAAAAATCATTTAATGTTTAATAATGAATATTGCTAATTAACCTTAGGACTCATCAAAGGTGAATGCAAGTTTTCGATTTTAAAATTTAGTCTTCAAAACAAAAATGGAGCTGAAATAGTTTTTATTCACTCAATTTTGAAAGATTTTTGCATTTATTTTTAAAATCAAGATTTTGCATTCATTTCCAACTCTTGAAATTTATTTTTGTTATCCTCATTAAATCATATATAAAAAAGGTAATCGAGACATTTACTTCTAATTTTAGCTTATGTTTGAGAGATGTGATTTAAAGGAGAATTAATAAAGTTCCTTGTATTTGGTGAAGATGAATTAAAGGAGAATTAAGATAATTAATTGGTAAGGCTCATAGGAAGAAAGTGACCTTTTCACATGTGGGGATTCATGTAAAATTATGACCATTTACATAAATGACCTCATGTTGTACTCACTCTTTATGATAGTAACAAGCTTTCGTGAACAAATAGGTGACATCTTTAACTATCAATGTTTCATATTGCAATATGATCATTATTATTGTATTGGATAGGTCTCGAACACCCGACAGGTCTCGACCTTGCGTTACATTCCATGCCCACGCAATATGATTGAAACACTAATTAAAGGAGTACTTGGTTGAGAGGTACCCAATTGAGGGTACTTGACTGAGGATCACTCGACTAAATGGTACTCGACCGATAATACTTGGTTGAGGGGTATTTGGTTAAAGGATACTCAACCCAACATTATGCATATAACATAGTAGAAAAGTAACATTCAACCATTATGCAGGAATAAAAGAACTTTATCTTATATATTTATACATGCATCTTACATTTTGAATATATGTAACATATACATAATACACTCAATTACTCTGTTAATTTTAGCATCAGAGTTCCTTTTACAAAGGTTAAAGATTGAGGATGTGATCTCAAAGACTTAGGATTGACAACATTATACTTGTACTTTTCAACAACTATGATTATAGGTCTTGAAAAGTCATATGTGACTATGCATGAATCAAGTAACATAATTGATTATGTCAACTAGTATAATTTATGGTACTATATTTTATTAGAAAAAAATATAATTTCACTTTAATATATCAAAAAAGGTAAAATAATAATTATATATATTATTTATTTTTACTCTCATAAATAAGTATAAATTAGATATAACTAAGAGACAGTTTGACTTTTATTTTCTATTTTCTTGTATATGAAATGAGATTATGACACCCTTTATATCTTTTTAATATATTAGTTATTTATCGTTCAAAAAAAATTATTTTTACATAAAATTTAACTATATAAAATATAATTTTAAAATATAAACTTTCTATTTCTCACTCTTTTTTATTCTATTAAATAATTAAAATTTTATACTATAATTTAATTCTATGAAATTATTTATCACGTATTCTTATTTTCATTCTTTTGAATTCCTCTATGCTGCTCCCCATAGAAAGCATCAATTCCCAAACCCGTAGCCTTTTGGTAAGTAACCAAAGCCTTTGACATGTCACATCATTGTTAGTGAAGAGCTTGAACTTGATCTACGACCTCGTATTGAAGGAAGCCATCTTCGTCCAATAACAAAAAGACAAGTTTCACTAGTTCATTAATCAACAAAACCCTTTGAATGTTATAAAGTCTTGATTTGCAAGAATTGTTGCTCACGAATCAAGAAAATTTCCATCCTTCTCTTTTTGCACTAGTGCAAAAAAGGGTATTTACGTCACCCAATTTGGATTTATAATCAGCCTTTGCATTGGACTGGACAACAACACTTTGTTTCTTGCTCTTCTAAGTAGGGATGGCAAATATACCCGTACCCGCGGGTAATACTCGAACCCGTCCTGACTTTGACGGAGAATACCCG